TATACGATGGAAGTAGTCTTTTATTCTTCATGAACGTTATGTAAGACCCTGTAAACAATACAGGGTACATAATTCAGTTCTTGACTGACCTGATGAAGTTCTGCTTCCCTTGCTATATTGTAACATCCTGTGCTGTGACCGAGGGAAGACATTATCTTTTTGTCAATCTTTATTGAAGAATGTAATATCTACTGGGTGATCCTGAGGTAGCCATGCTGCGTCCCTCAGAGGAAACTACCCTCACAGAGTTGTGGGAAAGGTAAAATGGGTAAGTGGAAAACCACATCCAACACTCCACAGCTAATTGGAGGAAGGACAGGACAGACAGACAGATAGATTTGACAGGGGCTATTACCTAAAGCTCTGGATCCTTCAGGGACATTCTGCACCCATGAACTAAAGCCAGTCTTCTCTTTGCACTGCCTTCCATGTGGCTGGGGTTCCCATTTGCCTGCTTATGGCAGGAGACCTTCAGCAGATTGCCACCATTGCCTGCCGATGCTTAGCTTAGAGGTGTGCAAAAAAATTTCACTGTTTCCCAATTCAGGTCTATTGACCCCCCCTCCCAGTGGTATTCCTGAATACTCCTAAATAGCAGTATCAGTATTGTATTGGTATTTGGGTAAATATTCAGGAAACCAGAATTTATTCGGCTCCATTATAGCTTAGGGGATTATCCCCATAGGTCATAATGGAGAAACTATCAGTTTAAATTAAGTTTAAACATCTTCTGAGTTCACTCGCTGAGTCGTTAAAGAGACCAGTCTCTTTAAATACCTTCTAGCTACAACTGAATAAAAGCCAAATAATATCGGCTTTTATTCGGGCATGGCTATTTCATTAGCTGAATCAGATTGTCTAATCTGTTTTCAACTGAATAAATACCCAGACAATACCAATAAGGTTTTTTTGGGGTGTATATTTGGCTTCGCATATAGTGCTAGCTTAGCTGTTTAGCAAGGGGAGGCATAACTGCCATCCCTGTGCAACGATGCAACTTTTGGTATGACTTGGAAGCAACATCACACCAGAAGTGAGATTTTAGCACTGGGACAAAAACTGTATGGAAACTACAGACAGAGATAGAAACTACAGACAGAGCGTCACCTTTGGGGCTATTCTGTTGCTTCCAGGTCCTTAACGGAAGCTGGGTCAATGCACAGGAACAACATAACCCCACCCCCGTTCAGCTCCTGCCTCCTCCCCATCTTCTGCTGGTTGCCAGGCCATGCCTGTGGCACAGAGTATGTGAGCGGTAGGTTTCACCATTAAGCTGATCACTATCTACATGTTGGACATACATGTTGGCACAGCGGCCATGTCATGTGGTCACAAGGGATACAGTGTCCCCTGGCAGAAGATCTAAACACCACACAATACTAGGCAGTGCCAGGTTATCGATTTTGAACTGTCGGCCCCAAATGTCAAAATTCTCAGGGCTTGATGAGAACAATGTTTAGAGTGGGATGGCATGGATAAATTGCTGCCTTAGCCACCTCTTTCTATGGCAGAAAGCAAGGGGGCAACAGGGCTGCTACTCTCCTCCAGGACTGCTGTGGACCCTCACCTTTGAATCAGTTTAAAGAACGACAGTGTTTTCTGCGCTCTTCCCCTTCTGCTACTCGGCAACAAAAACCTCAGTACTGCTGACCACCCCACAAGGGGAAGGCGAGACCCTCTCCTGCAACTCTGCTGGTCTTGGCGGGGCTTCCGGGTGATGCACCCACCAATCTCCTTTGCCCCCAAATGCTGAGTTGAGCCAGAGCTCACCCTCGGAAGAAAGAGACTGGGAATAAAACAGCCAATATTGTAATGTCCCTGTATAGATCTGTGTACAGATCTACCGTGTACAGTTCTGGCCACATTCTCTCAAAAAGGACACTGCAGAGCTGGAGAAAGTACAGAGGAGGGCAGCCAAGATGGTGAGGGTGGTTGGAGCACCTTCCCTAGGAGGAAAGGATGAAGAGTCTGGGACTTTTCAGTTTAGAAGAGAGATGACAGAGAGAGAGAGAGAGAGAGAGAGAGAAGGAGGTTGGTTTATAAAATTATGCATGGGGTGGAGAGAGTTGACAAAGATAGATTTTTCTCCCTCTACCAAAATACTAGAACTCGAGGGCGTCCAATGAAGCCGATGGGCAGTAGGTTCAGGACGGAGAAAGGGAAATACTACTTTACATAGAGAGTGATCAAAATGTGGGATTCGCTGCCAGACGTCGTGATGGCCACAAGAATAAACAGCTTCAAAAGACAGATACATAAAGGATAAGTTTATCGATGGCTACTGGCCATGGTGGCTGAGGGGAACCTCCACATTCAGAGGCACTAAACCTCTGAATCCCAGAGCCAGAAGGCAACATCAGGGGAAGACCTCGGCCTCTCTGCCCTGTTGTTGGCTGTCCAGAGGAACTGGTTGGCCATTGTGTGAGACAGGCTGCTGAACGAGATGGACCACTGGTCTGATCCAGCAAGGGTCTTCTTATGTTCTTTGGGAGAGCCTGTGCTGTCAGAGGTGTGGACAGACAGCACTCATTACCTGACAGTGGGTTACTCAGGGTCAGCGACAGACAGCACTCATTACCTGACAGTGGGGGTTACTCAGGGTCTGTTCAGACGCTGACCCCAAGTCGTGGAACTCTGAAGCAAAGCCATCCTCCCCCTTTCCGTTTTCCGGTGAAACTAGAAAAAAACCACCCTAGGCCCCGGTCACATGGGCCAGATAACGCGGGGGGGGGGGGGGGTGGTTGGTCGCCAGTTCGCCCCGGGGCAAAATAAAGCGTGATAGCCCAATCACACGGTCCCCCGAGTCTCCGCGCTTAGGCTGTTAAGCTGGCAATCACACGGAGACGCTGCAGCGTGGCAAAGAAGCGGCGCGGCACGATCACACAAGCGTTTGCTTTCAGTTTTCTGTTTGTGCGCATGCGCTTACGAAAAACATCCGGTTTGCGACGGGATGTGGACGGGCGCCTGATGCCACGGTGGGATACTAGCGCTCCCACAATCAGCCGACCGCCTGTGAAGCGTGTTTTCTGGATACCGGTGCACTTTCCTTGGTACTTTTTAACTCCGCATCTTTGGCGGGGCGCCACGGGCATGCTACGCTTCCCAGACGTTGCGGTGTGATCGCACCCCGAAAATCCGCCCGACATTCGTGCCTTTCGCGTGGCAAATTCTCCGTGTGACCGGGGCCCTAGTTTGGAGAACAGCAGAGAAACCCCACCTTCTTTCCAGCCAGCCGTCCCACTCTCATGCTCTGGCCTGAGCTGGGGGTCATACCAAAAACTGCTGCCCTGCCGCAGCCACCCATGTCGGTGCTGCAGTGAGCAGCCCCGCATTCTCGCGTACACGAGGGCAGGCGGTCTTGTCCCTCACATGCAAGCTCTGGATTCTCACGCATGCATAAGAACTTTCACACCTCTGGTAACACTGCGGTGGTCTCAAGTGTTTCAGTTTGGGACTGCATCGTGTTAAGAGCGCTGGTGGATAAAGGCTGTAACCTTTCGACAGTCCACCCACCTATCTATGACGTTCCCTGCTAGCACCTTAGGCGATATAATAAGGGAACTGGCAAAACAGGGAGCTGCGTACATTCCACATTTCTCCCCAATGTGGAAGTTTCATGCACGCAGCCAGAAGGGCTTCTGTTCCAGATAGGGTGTTCAGAAATATGACCACTCCACGGTACGCTGTGGCACTCCACAATACTCCCACCTTCCAAAGATATCCACGGTTTGCGTAATTCTACTTGCATTTCAGAGGAGTGCCAAGTAACTGCAGTCTCACCACATCCCCACGACATGTCAGAACAGTCATATAAATTGCTGCTAGATTTGAGTCCAGTAGTAGAGACTGACAAAAATTTCACGGTATAAGCTTTCAAGCATCAACGCTCCCTTTGTCAGATAGCAGACAAATTGCCACTGTGCATATCAGCGGCAATTGACCTGGCCTTTTTGTTTCTCCTTAGGGACCCCCTTGAAGGAAACTGCCCGCTGACATCTAAAAATGTAACCAAGCCTGGCCTTTATCTCAGCAAACCTCTTTCAGATCCTGCAGAAAACTGGAGCCAAATGAGAACGACACACCCTTTAGTTCTATGCAGTTTGAAACCAAACGTTTCAAACTGGATCCACACAACTGTGCCCCTAGAACCCTGCTCCTCAGGGGACCTTTGGGTTTCAAAGGGCAAACTGCTGTGGGTACTGGAGGGAGTTTCAAAAACAGGTTAAGAGACACCACAGGGCTACGGGCTTCCAAGAAAACTAACCCCCAACATCTTACAGGGTTGATGTTGGGATTCTTTCTGAGTAAGTCAGCAGAGTATCAAGAGACTGAGTCCATGGTGTGTATTAAAATATAAAAGTTTACTATAAACCTAACATGGGGAAAAGGTACACAGGATATAAAATAACAAAGAGCTAATATGCCTACATCCTTGCAGCTAAAAGGTAAAACGGGAAGAGCCGAAATGGCGTCTCCTTCTCAGTCAGAACAAAGAACGGGAGGAGAAACCATTATGCTAAATACTTGACACCTTGGTTTCCAATCAGACTAGCAAATTAGCTCCAAAGTTCCCGGGCATTCTGTTGTCTAAACAGACTGGTTACAAACAAACATGTGACTTAACAAACATCATTAACCCTGTAAATACTGAAGTGTTTTGACTTGTAACACCCAACAGTTGATTTGTACCTTGGATGCACCCTGACTCACTTTTTTGATCCCAGCCTTCTAACTGTGCATTCACTGTGACAAATTCCAACCCCCTCAAATTTAACTGGCTTAACTTTAACTGGCTTAAGCAGCCTCATGTGTAACTCCACAGTCCTGGCCAAGGATCCAAAGTAAACTAAACGCAACCTCTTATCACAAGACAGGACAAGAGTCCAAAAGGAGTAATGCTCTGTAGATCTTGACCGGCCCTGTTCTAAGCAGCTGAAGCGTGAGGGGGAAAGAAAGCAGGCGAGACATCACAGAAAACAGAGCGGGGGGCGATACTTTACTTTTGTCCCCTCCTCCTGGAAAGATGGAGCGCAGCCGGGCCTTCTTGTTTTTCTCCTCGGGGGCCATGGGCAAAGGTTTGGAGCCGTGGTTGAGCGTCGAAGAATCGCGGTTGTTGCTGTTCATTCTCAAGGGAGGAGCTGGAGGTTTCTCTTCAATATCCAGGCTCTCTGACATCTTCAACAACCCTCACGGCCTCCTGGGGAAACAGCAATAGAGACAGAGAGAGAGAGAGAGAGGAGTGAAAGGGTGGGGTGCGGAAAAACAGAAAGCCCTTGGCGTGAGCTCCAGACACGTGGTTGGAGTCTCTTACCAGGTGCTTCCAAAGCCAAACGACCAAAACCCCAAGGAGTATCAACCAGAAGCGGTAGAGTTGGACGGCCGAAATGACAAGAAGAATTTGTCTCATTGGACTAATTCAGCTGGCAGAGCGAGCCCAGACTCTTTAAATATTGGCATTACTAGCTAAGTCTTTCCCGCTGCTGTTTAAAAGCCATTTGCCTCGTTAAGATAAAAGCCGATTTCCCTCATTTAATCACTGCATTTCCGAAGCAGAGCTTTGAGAAAATACAGGAATGCAACACAAGCTAGGAAAGATACTGGGAACTTTACCAGCGGACCCATTAGATCTATTCTTCATGTACTGAAAGAGTTTCACAGATGTGAAAAATGACCATCAAGGTAATGACAGCAGCCTCCTTCTAGCTGGGGTGGGGGGGCTCCTCGATTCCTTTCTGAACAGTTTTATAAAGTTTAGAATGGCTAAAACGTCTAAAGCCCTTTTCGGTCGTTCGCCAGATGTGAACTGGAGATTCAGGGGGATACAATGGGATTGGAGTAGCCCGTTCACCCCTGACCTATATGCTGGAACGTATGAAACCTCTTTATTTCAAAGGATTCACAAGGTTCTTGATTAGAGGCAACAAAAGACCATTGCATCTCTCCGTAGCAGTGGGATGGGATGTCGCAACCAAGCACGTTTTGCTTTTCCGAGGGGCAGCCATTTGCATTTCTGCAGCTACAAACAGGAAGGTGATTGCGTGTACACAAATTTTTAGAACGTAAAGATTTTCTGTCCTGGTGGTCTTTCATGGTTCCATTCCAGATCCGGGACCTACAATTAACCCTCAGCGGCAGGCACGGGACCCACAGTGCAGTTGTGTGAGAGGAAGAGGAGGAGCCAGGACCGGTGGACTCGCCTGTGCCAAACATGAACTCTCGCCAGCTGGGCGCAACCTCCCCTCACTGCCCTGCTGCCGTGGCACCCTCGTTCACACGCAACGGGCCCATCGGCTTGCCAGTCGCCTACCCCATCCTCCCATCTCCCGTGCTCACTTGATGGAGGAGGAGTAGAAAACAGAACGGACGCCGTGACGTCACTTTGAGGCAAGCAGCCGTAAGTGATGCCACAGCACCTGGGACCCTCTCGGAATCGCTATGGTAAAGGATAGATCACAGAGGGTGCGTTCAGACGGGGCGTTTCAGCCGGCATAAACTGTACCGGTTGGAACCGGTGCAGTTTATGCCGGCTGAAATGCAATCACACTTACCTCCTGTCTGCGGAGCCCATCGCTGTATGCCCGTTCACACACAGCAGGCGTCGGCGGTTTTTTTTTTTTTTTTTACTCAGTTTGAAACTGCCGCAAAG